TCAGTTTAGAAGAGAGCTAAAGGATGTTATAGCATTGTTAATTTAAGGATAATATAATTTAAGACAGAATATAATTATTGTATTGTAAACCCTGTGTGTAGCTCTGGGAAGTCGGGGGGAAGGGAGGGGGGTGGGGAAGGGTGGGGTATGAGGGAGGTGGGGAGTTATATTGTAAAAATTTTAAAAATTTTCAATAAAAAAAAAAAAAAAGGAATTCTGGGAGTTGGAGTCCACGTCATAAACAGTTTCTCATGCTGGCTCAGGAACTCTGGGAGTTGAAGTCCACGAGTCATAAAAGAGCCAAGGTTGCCTACCCCTGACCATGGGGATACTGCCACGGTCATAAGTGTGAAAACGGTCATAAGTCACTCTTGTCAGTGCCCATTGTCATGTTGAATGGTCACTAAATGAACTGTTATAAGTTTAGGAATTTGCCAAGCATGCGACAGTGTGGGAACGAAAGTATGTTTTGTGACAGTCTGACAAAAGTTTACCCGGAGGAAGATCTCAGATCTTTGTTCCTTTTTATTTGGAATCAGGACATTTTGTACTACGCGTCGTTCCCCACCTGAAAAGTGAGTGGGTGGTATTTTTGGGAGAGCTGCCAAGCAGAAAATAACGATATGGGACTCGGGGACCTTCGCAAAATAGAGTCTGGATCGGATTCCCATGCAAGGAGCCTTCGCCCTGTCTGCTGACCACGTCTGAGCACAGCTCTCTCCTGCATCAGGGTTTGGACAGACCAGGATTCAGAGGGCCGTGTCGGAGCTGGAATTGCCTTTAGCCTCGCGGGGGTAATACTCGGCCAAGATGCTTTCCGGGATCCGTTTCAGAAGCTCTTTGGGGAAGATCCGCAGCAGCTGCCAGCCGATATCCAGGGACTCGAAGATGGTCCGGTTCTCATAGGCCCCTGGAAGAAGCATGCCACGAATTCATTACCACGTGGGAAGTTTGATATCAAAATAGCCACAGCAATAGCCCTTAGACTTATATACTGCTTCGTACTGCTTTACAGCCCTCTCTGAGCAGATTACAGAGTCAGCATATTTGCCCCCGACAATCTGGGTCCTCATTTTCCCAACCTCGGAAGGATGGAAGGCTGAGCCAACCTTGAGCCGGTCAGGATCGAACTCCCACCAGTGGGCAGAGTCAGCCTGCAATGCTGCATTCTCACCACTGTGTCACCACAGCTCATATATCATCTATGATAGACAGACAGACAGACAGACAGACAGACAGACAGACAGACAGACGATGATAGATAGATAGATAGATAGATAGATAATGATAGATAAATATAGATAGATAGATAGATAGATAGATAGATAGATAGATAGATAGAGATAGATAGATAGAGATAATAGATAGATATGATAGATAGATAGACAGATAGATGGAGTTAGATAGAGATAGACAGAGAGACAGATAGATAGACATATAGAAAGATGATAGATGATAGATATAGATAGATAGATAGATAGATAGAGATAGATAGAGATAGATAGAGATAGAGATAGATAGATATAGATAGATATAGATAGATATAGATAGATAGATAGACAGACAGAGACAGACAGATAGAGTTAGTTAGATATATAGAGATAGATATGATTGATAGATAGATGATAGCAATAGCAATAGCCCTTAAGACTTCACAGTGCTTTACAGCCCTCTCTAAGCGGTTTACAGAGTCAGCCTGTGGCCCCCAACAATCTGAGTCCTCATTTTACCGACCTCAGAAGGACGGAAGCTGAGTTGACCTTGAGCCAGTCAGGATCGAACTCCCGGCAGTGGGCAGAGTCAGCCTACAATGCTGCGTTCTGTTCTAATTCTAATTCTAACAGAGTTGGACCTTGGGCGTCTTCTAGTCCCACCTCCTGCTCAGGCAGGAGACTCTAAATAAACCATTCCAGACAAATCTCTTCTTAAAAGCCTCCAGTGATGGAGCACCTACAACTTCCGTTCGACTGACGGATTGTCCTCACAGTTAGGAAGTTTCTCCTTAGTTCTAGGTTGGGTCTCTCCTTGATGAGTCTCCATCCGTTGCTTCTCGTCCTGCCTTCAGAAGCTTTGGAGGATAATTGGACCCCCTCCTCTTCTTTGGGGCAGCCCCTCAAAGGCTGGAAGACCGCCATCGTCTCCCCCCTGGTCTTTCTCTTCCTTAGACCAGACATACCTGCAACTCCTTGGCCTTGGCCCGCTCCCACGTACCTTGAGCAATGAACTGCTTCTCAAACTTCTGCAAGAACTCCAAGTAGAGAAGGTCGTCGGCTGACAGGGCCTCTTCCCCCACCACGGCCTTCATAGCCTGGACGTCTTTGCCAATGGCATAGCAGGCGTACTGGACGGAAAGCAAGACAGTCACTCAGAATCAAGGTCATGTCAAGAAATGGGAGGGGGGCAAAAGCCCCTCCGGACAGGGCTGCCCACCGGACGTGTCCCCCCCCAAAAAAAATCAGTTTGGTAGTGCTAAGCAAGAATGGTACTGGTCGTCCTCCACGTACGACCACGAGAGAGCCCAAGATTTCCATTGCTAAGTGAGACATTTCTTAAGCGAGCTTTGCTCCCATTTTACGAGCTTTCTCGCCCTGGTTGTTAAGTGAATCCCTTCGGTTCTTAAGTCAGCCATGCAGTCGTTAAGCGAATCGGGCTTCCCCCCGTTTGACTTTGCATGTCAGAAGGTTGCAAAAGGGGATTACGTGACACACACACACACACACACACACACGGGGCACTGCCACCGTCCTAAATACGAGCCAGCTGCCAAGCATCTGTATTTTGATCACCCCAGGGGTGCTTCAACGTGAAAAAGGGTCCTAAGTCCCTTTCCTCGGTGCCGTTGTAGCTTCGAAGGGCCCCTAAACGAATTGACGTAAGTCGAGGACCACCTGCATTCTCGCCATTGGCCTTTTGGTGCTCCCGATCCAAAGGAGCCCGTCGTTTTCCAAGCCCGCTTCAGAAGGAAGCGCTTCCCTACTCTGTTGCACAGGGGGTCCCTCCCCTCCCAGGGCCTGGGTTTCCCCCCCCGAAGCCCCCCACCGCCCTGGGTCAGCTCAGAGGCCCACCAATTGATTCGAAACGTCCCCGTGGTCCTTCCGGGTCATGCCTTCCCCAATGGCCGACTTCATCAGACGGGAGAGAGACGGCAGCACGTTGATGGGCGGGTAGATCTGCGGGCCGAGAAAAGGCGCGTCACGAAGGAGCCACCATGGAGGAATCGGGTCTGATCAGGTGGAAGCTAAGAGCCCCAGAGGACATGGGGAGGGGGGAGGAGGGTCTGGGGTCCTCATAGCTCCTAAAACTCAGGGGCTTTATATCGTCGACTAAAGCGCAACCACCGATGGGCTGAATTCTTGGTAGAGGGTTTGAAGGCACCAGGCCAGAAACCTGGAGATGGAGAGTTCTAGTCCTCTCCTTAGGCGTGAAAGCTAGCTGGGTGACTTTGGGCCAATCACCAGGAGATGGTGAATTCTAGTTCTGCCTTAGGCATGAAAGCCGGTTGGGTAACTTTGAGCCAATCACCGGGAGATGGAGAGTTCTAGTCCCTCCTTAGGCGTGAAAGCCAGTTGGGTGACATTTAGCCAATCACCAGGAGACGGAGAGTTCTAGTCCCTCCTTAGGCATGAAAGCCAGTTGGGTGACTCTGAGCCAATCACCAGGAGACGGAGAGTTCTAGTCCCTCCTTAGGCATGAAAGCCAGCTGGGTGACTCTGAGCCAATCACCAGGAGA